TGAAAGTGGATTTTGGCTGCACCCTCTCTGTAGACCAAGGACCACAGTGTCCTCACAAAACAAACTTTAATGCAATTGTGTCCATATAAGTGAGAAACACAGACTGTCAGTGCTGCCAGTCAGCAACGCCCCGTGAGGCAGCACCCCGGGACACAAACGCTGCTTTCCACGGGGTGACTATCGGAGTGGACTGAACAGCAGCCGGGTTACTTGTAAAGGAAATAAATAGTGACAGGCACCCATGCTCCCTGCGCTGCACACCCCTCCTGCCAGCACAGCAGCAGTGCAGCCCAGAACAACCCCCGGGAGCGATGGCGACCATCAGTGACTTCACTCGGATAATTTTTTACAATGAACTCTTATAATTTTGCTGAGATGACCTGCACTATTACATCTCTACGGTGGCACCGTCGCTGTCCCCGTTTCTGAGAACAGGCAGCTTCAGTGAACGTCCCCATTCCCCATTTCTGGATCCAAGAGCTGCTGCCCTTTTCCAGCACCCCCCTCCCGAGGCCGCGGGGAGCCAAGGGCCGGGGGGGGCTCCTGCTGAAGCACTGCCCCGGGCTGACAAGGCTGCACCACCGGGCCTTCTCCCCTCAGAGGCGGCCGCCCCTGGCCCCGACCCAGCCCAGGGGTACAAGGAGTACTGCTCAGTACTGGGGCCAATTCTCTTTAACATCTTTATCAATGATCTGGACGAGGGGATCGAGTGCACCCTCAGTCAGTTCGCAGACGACACCAAGCTGGGTGGCAGTGTTGATCTGCTGGAGGGTAGAGAGGCTCTGCAGAGAGATCTTGACAGGCTGGATCGATGGGCCGAGACCAATGGGATGAGGTTCAACAAGGCCAAGTGCTGGGTCCTGCACTTGGGTCACAACAACCCCCTGCACCGCTACAGGCTGGGGGCAGAGTGGCTGGAGCTGCCTGGCAGAAAAGGACCTGGGGGTGTTGGTGGACTGTCGGCTGAACATGAGCCAGCAGTGTGCCCAGGTGGCCAAGAAGGCCACCAGCATCCTGGCCTGTGTCAGGAACAGCGTGGGGAGTAGGGCCCGAGAGGTGATGGTCCCCCTGTACTGGGCACTGGTGAGGCCTCACCTCGAGTACTGTGTCCAGTTTTGGGCCCCCTACCATAAAAAAGACATTGAGGTGCTGGAGCGGGTCCAGAGAAGGGCGACAAAGATGGTGAGGGGTCTGGAGCACAAGTCTTATGAGGAGAGGCTGAGGGAACTGGGGTTATTCAGCCTGGAGAAGAGGAGGCTGAGGGGAGACCTTATTGCTCTCTACAACTCCATGAAAGGAGGGTGTAGAGAGGTGGGGTCCGGACTCTTTTCTCAAGTCACAGGCGACAGGACAAGAGGAAATGGCCTCAAGTTGCGCCAGGGGAGGTTCAGGCTGGATATTAGGAAAAATTTTTTCACAGAAAGGGTTCTCAGGCATTGGAATGGGCTGCCCAGGGAGGTGGTTGAGGCCCCATCCCTGGAGGTGTTCAAAAGACGGGTTGATGTAGTGCTGGGAGGTATGGTTTAGTGATGATGCTCCTTGTTTGTTGTGCGGGTGTCTATTTTTGTCAGGTTGACAGTTGCACAAGATGATCTTTGAGGTCCCTTCCAACCTAGAAGATTCTGTGATTCTGTGATTAGAGGCAACTGCACATTTTTAAAAAAGTCTTGAATTAATTAATTTGCAAACTCCTTTGTCTCTCAGAAGCTTGGAGAACATTTTTTTCCTAAGAGTCCCTCATTCTTCTTTACTAGATGTCTGTCTCTGCTGTGGTGATGCACTCAACCGTGACAGACAAAACTCTTTTGGTTTGTTTTCATCTGGCTAAAAAGTGGCTTTTTTCTTCACGTCATCCTCCCCAGTTTGGAATGTAAGGAAAACAGGGGCCGGGGGGGGACACACAGGGCCGGGCCGCCCCCTCAGAGCGAGGAGCTCGAGGGTCGGCGGGAACTCGAGTGTGAGGAGCTGGAAAGTGACGCAATGCGTGACGTCAGGCCTGGCGACGGCGCCTCGACGTCACAGGCCGCGGGGCCGCTGCGCACGCGCCCGGCGGCACCGCCCTCCCCGCGTGACCCCGGCCCGCGCGCGCCCCCCCCCCCCCCCC